CAGTCGAACACAGAGAAAACCGCGTTGATAAAGATTTCTAAACAACTACAACAAAAGTACCAGTCGCTGTCAACGGAAGAAATCTCAGGGTCATCTCTTTCACCTAATCCTGGCAGTGTTGTTCCAATTTAAAGCGGCACGGATGAGAATGTCAAAGCCAGCCATAATCAGAAAGACAAAACAGACGTTCATTAATCTGAAGTCAGTGTTCTACTACCGTGGCATAAAGAACTAGATCCAGATTTACACCATTAACATTATGTACTTTTTGTGTGTGTGTGCGTGTTAGGAACTTGGCGTCTCACCAAAACCATTCCTAACAGGCTACTGCCAACTTTAACCAACATCTGTCTTCGCTGCATACTTAAGATCCGATTGCCGATCAGAAGCGACTATCAGGAATGACCTCTGACAGCAAAGCAACCGAAAGCCTGTTACCCAACAATTAAGCCGAGAAAGTAGAGGTGAATTGGACACACTCTGGGGAGGCCACTAAACGACATCACTTGCCAGACCCTAGAGCGAAATCCGAATATTCGGTGATAAGTTGGTCTTCCGAAGGTGACATGGAGGAGATGAGAGCTTATGAGCAGTCGTGGGGCCAGTTAAAGAGAATGGAGTGAAGTGGCGGTGTGCTGTTGACGACGTAATTCCCACTTAGGCCTCCTGGAACTAATATTATGCCTCACTTTTATGTCATTTTACGGATATATGCACACTCATTCGTTGTAGCCTATTTGGGGCAGGTAAATACTTCAGAATTTTTGCCGTACTACTAATTACGTAACTCCCTAATTGTGTTGTTGGGAGAAGTGTTTATGTTGTGGATGTAGGGAAGCTAGGCTTGCTTGGAATGCACTTATTTGTCTTACTCAGGAATATGACCCACTTACAACTCCAGTTGCCGTCTGTCGGGAGCCATCATATACGGAAATACTGTCTGGCTTCACTGTGAGCCAACTGTATTCACCGAGAAAACGAGTTATGTGAGAGAAATTGAACGGTTGGCTGAGGTATGTAGCCTGGATGCTAAGCCATTTTCTTTCTGGACGTCCGCTGCTAACTGTGATTGGCTTTAGATGGCAGTCTCTCGAAGAAAGTCAAGCCAGACTGTGTCACCATTCTGTATGGTCTATTAACTAGTCAAAATTGTGTAAAGAGATGGGGGTCACACAGCTGTATGTTCTGAAGGGATGAATCCTCTATTCTACCTCACATGGAACATAACCTTGCATCGAATTATGATTCTTCTATTCTTTTTTGTGTACAGCGTTATACACTGATGCACTTCTCTGCAGTATTCTTCTGTAACCCTTTTAGTGATTAAAATGCTTAGCGCCTTTTGCCGAAAACACTTGAAAAGGCAACAAACCTCGAACGAACGGTTATAGAAGCTGATAAACCCCAGTAGCCTAATATTAACTTGACACTTTTTTGATGGATCTGAAGGCATGACATTGCAAAAGGAAATTTATGAAGTGCGGGGTTATGCTTTATCTGAAAATTACTCATCACATTGAATGAGAAGGTAACAAGTCTCCAAAGCCTCAGGATGGTCGGGGGTGGGTGCCTTGCGCTGCGGGCCGGCCACCCCTCCTCACACCTTTTGAAATGCTCCCATATGACCGGGCGTCTTGCATAGCCTCTTCTGAGGAAGTCCTACTCACTGTCTTCACGTGGCAGAGGTGTTTTCCAACAAAGTGAGAGGGCAAAAGCGGATGCCCGGCGCTCTTCACCGGGTTGACTGTCCATTGGATGACAGTCTAGGGGAGATGACTAAACCGTGATTCCAAACCTACAACGACTGACGTATGGAGCTCACGGGAGCTCACCGGCAAACGTATGGACAAAGGGCTTGTTGGATGTCCTGGATGTCTGGCCCCATTCAAAAAGGCGTATGAACCGAACTCCGGTCACCGGCTGCCAATGGATAGTGGACTCCCTGCTCCACTCCTACTGCCTTGTAGGTCACACTTGGTTGTGTAAAGGCTAGAGCTGCACTCTCAAACAAAAGGCCGAGCGATTCTGGGGACATCACTCGTACCAAATTCCCATGAAACTTCATGAACTCTCTGTACTGGTCCAACAACGCCGCCTTCGGTGGTTTGGCCATGTTCTGCGCCGACCAGATGACGATCTGGTCAAATCAGTTCTAAATCCCTCGCCATTACCATCTTGGCGATGTCGCAGGGGTGGACAGCTGAAAACATGGCTTGGTACAGTCAAGGCTGATATGGAGTGCCTGGGGCTACAAACCGTCTACGGACGCCGTCTGTGGAACAAGAATTGGATAACCCTGTCGCAAATCCTTGCATCAGATCGCCGCGCCTGGGCAGCGATGATTCGAGATGTTCATGAAGCCGGCTCATCCTCCCGTAGGAGATAGCCGAAGTAAAGTAAGAAGGTAACAATGCACTCCCATGTGACTAATACTTTAAATCAAAAAGCATGGTCTATTGGGGTTGAATAATACAAAGAACCCCACAGTTTTTCTGAATTTGGTCTTGAATTCGTTCCAGTCATCCTTTGCCATTGTCTTCAAATTGAGTAGTGCTGTGAGAAATTTCGCTATCTGTTTCAGCCTGTGGAATTCTTCGTCGCAAAATCCCCTGAATCATAGGGTAAAAACTAGGGCAAGTTGTAGATAACGTCGTCAGAGTCTTAAGCAAACTCATTCCAATTCCTGTAGTTCTTTTGACTACCTAACATCAGTCGCATTTTCGTGCTTAGACATGGCATATTACTTCTGTCGACTTAATCACTCCTGAAGCAATGCTTAGCGGGTACGGTACTATACTAGAACTTTGTTCGATCACTGTCGGCAGTGTTAAAGCCTTGAAGCTGGCTACCACTTTGAACGTCAACGTCGAGCGTTGTTAATCAACTGTGAGGTTCTCTCTATTCCCTTTTTATATGTGTGACTTTTTGGCTCTGTATTTCTGATTTGGTTTGACACAAGTGGATGAAGTGAGTACATCAGGTGAAAATGCTTGTAAAATGTGTATTCTGCTGTAAGGCCTTAATAAAATATCTTAAATGCTAGGGGCTAGCTACATGTTAGACTCCTTTCTTTCAGGCACTTTGTACTTTGCTAAATTGCAAATGCTTTTGATATATCCCATCCAAAAAATTCCACCTAGTATTCATTTTCATCTATATTTTTCCAAACACTTAAGTGAGGAGTGGCTAAGTACGTTGACTCTCAGCTGTTTGTAGTACAGAGCGATGCCTTATGCTGTTTCTTCCATAGGGTTGATCTTATTCTGAAGTGCTGTTCGATGAATAATGTACGCCCACATTCCAGAGCTAATGAACAGATGGCCTGGTTAAATTCTAAATTTTCCTTAGTTGATTTGGGTTGTATTAGTTTTATGTAGAAACATTACTGAACTCGGATCCTAGACGACTGTGGAGAGCGTTTGAATCAAGAGAACTGCCAAAAATAAAGTTATGGTTTTTGATTTATAGGGTGTTCATATCAAAAGTTAAGTAATTTAATGGCTTTCGCACTGTGTAAACTAGAAGATCTTGGCCTTTGTAATCTATTGTCATTGTCAATGTGAGCAGCCATTTGTGACTGAAGACAGTATGCTTTACTTCATAATATTGTGATAAAAACAACCCTAAGATTTTCGGTCCTTGTTTGCCACAATTCGTGACTCATTGTTTTTGTCAGTCCACCATAAATGTGTCAAGGATTTGTCATCCTATTGGTCAAATTTTCCTATTTTTTGTTTTTTGGCCAGCTAACCTTAAATAGTTGGATGAGTCATGCTTTTGTCATTGTGAATGCAATGGTAGGCAGAGGACAGGAGATAATTGTATTCACTAAAATAAATAAATAAAATTAGCCAATCAGAAAGACCCAGGCTTTGTTCTGCGTGGGCGGTGAATTTTGCAATGTCCAGAAACTATAATCTGATTGGCGGTGAGACCTCCAATAAGATTTCAGAGTGGTTTTTAAAGTGTATATAAATGATTATGCTGTCAATAAAAGTGTAAATTATCAAAATCCAGTGACCGCTGGTAGCGGATTGTTATCCTGTTGCAATGTGTGGTTGGCTTCAGCCATGCGTAATTTAACACTCTAAAGAATGTTTTACTTTGGAAACTACTGCTTTATTCCACCGTTTTAATTTTGTTGGAATAATTTCACATAACTCCAACTAGTTTCCTGTCTTTCAGGATAAAAATAGTATCAAAGCAGATTTATGAACAGAGAAATGTCTCTGTGTTTGATCGTTAACTCTTTTGAGCTGATTGAGCTTCTTGAACAACATTTTCAAAAAAGTGTAGGTGTGACACTGAATGGTTTAAGCATTCGGTTTTCAACTTACAGGTTACAGGTTCGTGTGTTGTCTCAGCCTAGACAACTGCGTGGTATCTGTAGTCCTCATACGATAAGTGTGGCTCTTAATCCGGTACATGAAATATCTGTTCTGCGTAATCGGGCTGCGATTTCCCAGACGTCAAGATTTTATTACAAGGTTGTATTTTATGTTTTGAAACAAAGATCTATAAGTAGATTAAACTGTAATCCTGTTGCAAAGACAAGTAATATCAGTCTTTTGAATCCCAGAGTTTATTTATAAGAAAGGCTAAATATTTATTTACTCGCCGTTTATTTGGAAGTTTGAATATGTTGTGTTTTTATTGTAACTAAATAAAGGTGTCGTAGCAGTTTGATACACATTCAAGTTGGGTCACAAACGTATTGGCGAGAAATTGAATGTCTACATGATATATTAAAATTCGTTACACTTTGCTATTCTGTTTCAACGGCGGATTGGCGTATTGATTTCTCCTAACTAATCTTCCTTTTCCAACCTCATTTCTACCGTCTACTTTTACTGGGTCCTCTGTTTAGTGATATATATATATATACTGTTGTGATGCTTAGTTACCGCACAGTGTATATGCATGTTGTGAAGTATTTCATGGTATAAACGTGTATTAACCTTCATTTCGTCTATGTGTTTCTTTTCCCTTCTTTGTACTAGGTGTCTTTCGATAGCAAGTCTCTTGGATCTAAGGTGAGGATTTATGTTGTTTGTTATTCGGTTGGAATTTTCTCAAATAAAATTATTTTTTTCTAATGTTCATCGTTGTTACTGATAAACGTTTTGCATTTAGAATTTGGTATTTCTACTCTACCCTTTTATCAAATGTAACCTTACTATTTAGCTTTTTGTGATTACTGTTCAGTCATGGTGTTTTGTTTGACTCCACTACACCCCATTCAACTATTAGATCTGGGCTGGTAAGAAGTAAGATAGAACAAAGTTTTTTCCAGGGTTCTTTTTGCCTTTCATTCATATTTTTACGAGTTGATCACGGATTGATATCAGTTAGAGAATCTTTGAAAACCAGGTAGTACTGGACAGCTGTTTCATCATAGATTGGGAATCATCGGCAGTACGCACCCCAGGACCTTCCGGTTACAAGGCAAGCTTGTATACCATTCAGCCACTGGAACCCAATTCAATGGCCAGTGCATGAATTCTAACTTCTACCAATTTGTGTGATTTAGCGCGACCCCACCCAATGTCGTCGGTGGGACACCCATCCTCACACGTGACATCTGGATGGAACTCACTGGTCACGACGTCTCACTAGAACTGACTCCAGGAAACTCTATCCTGTAGGAAGTCACTAGCGAGCATCAGATTAATTTTCTATAGTTTGGTTTGTAAGGTTGGTTGGAAGCATAATAGTTCTCTAACTGATATCAAAAATCCGTGATCAATTCGTAAAAACATAACTAACTCTTACAAACCAAACTATAGAAAATTTGATTTATGCGTTATGCTTCCAGCCAATCTTTAAGGTTTATATACATACATTTTTCATGATTTCCGTTTCCTTTGAGCCGTCTCCGGAGATTTCCCTTTAGTGGAGCGGAAGCGAAAACTGCTGTATACTAAAATACCTTCTGTGTGTGTTTGTGTGTTCCTTTACTATTTATCTTAATGGGATTTTTCACCTCGACAAGCTTCAACAAAGCGAAAAAATGAAATTACTTCATCTCGTTGTTTTCTTTTCCAACTGCATAAACAGAATATCCACTTACTTTGACATTGGTCTTCAAAGTGAAAGTCATTCGTATGACGTAATTACTAATTAGTAAATTGAAAGTGGTAAATGCGCGGGATGCTGTTTAGCTTGTCAGTGCATAGAGAAAGCATTACAAGATTATTCCAGAATTAGGAATAAATGTGGAGGTGTAGAATCCACAAGACATTTACTTAGGGATGAAGTAATTTCGTTAAAAAAAAGTGGTCAAAAAATAGTCGGATCAAAAGTATAAGCAGAGATAAAATTAAGGGAATGAAATTACAAAACAAAATTAAAATAACCTGTGGTGTAGCTATCAAGGAAGAGCGGAGATTCACACTAATTTGCTTCTAAAGATTCAGGAAGTTCGGTCGGTTTTAACCGTTGATATTGCTTACCGCTTCAATGACACTTAACCAAGTGGAATTAATGTTAACTTTAATTGTCAAAAGTGATTTTGATAAATCAATGTCGTGACAACTGTCTATCACGTGATGGGGTGAGACTGTACTGTTGAAGACTTTCACGCCTTTCACTCACAGATTTCCTGGAATTGTGTTCAGATGTACATTCGTAAATTTCTCATGATCAATAGCTACACTGTGTGGATACTTCCTATATTGATATGAAAATTGTTTTTTTTCACTAAGGTTGTATGCAGTTGAAAAGATCGAATTAAATAATGACGTGCTATCCTATCATCCTGGTGAATTTATTGTTCTTGATTTGTTCCTATCTCTCATGTAAAGAAAACACTCTTAATTACCTAAATCTAAGACGTTTTAATAATCAATATAATTAATGCTCAAATAGTTCCATTCATAAAGCTTTTATTTAGGGTTTCAAGTTTATACACGGATAGATATCAGTTAGATAACCATTGAAAATTACAGAGTACTGGACACCTGTTTTTTCCTAGTGTGGGACTCTTCAACAGTGCGAACCCATATCTCCTCTCCTGCCAGGTTACGAGACGAGTTTATTGATCATTCAGTTACTTAGATAGAATCTAATAGTTCATGAATTCTAACTTTCGTGGTTTTTAGTGCCGCTGACTGACTAGTTTCATCATAGAACTTTGCACAGAAGTACAGTAGTTTGAGTTCCTGCTCTCCTTTTACGTAGCACACAAAGCAAGAGAAGAGAATAAAGAGAGATTCAAAGGAGAGAGATAAAGAGGAGTGCGAGTGAGGGAAAAAGAATAGTAATATGGAAGAACAATAGTCTTATTGCATATGACAAATCCATTGACAACGAGGATTTTGAGCCATATGATGAATTGTCTCTAGCCTTCATTGGTTCTTACTATCCCAAACCTGACCCAGACTGGTTAGGAAGCTAGTTTACATCTCCCTAAGTGACTAGCTGGTTGGCTGGTTGAAACTAACTGTTATGGATTTTATTGACTGATGAAGCCATGTTTTGGTATGACCACACCACTAACGCCACCGTCAACCAATTTCATCATTGTGATGGACTTCATTAGTCATTAATACATTAATTTTGATATTGTTATGTAAAAACAGAATGATGGTGTTCATCTAATTTCGTTTTGTTTTGTTTTTATTTATTTATTTCAGGAATTGACACTTGTGTGTATGAAAGACAAAAAGAGAGAGAGATTGGTGTTGTTATGTACTTCTAGGCTCTTGAATTCATATGTATATGCATTATCTTTTCTTATTATTACGTATTCTATATGTGATAATTAGGGGTGGGGTGCGATGGGGGAGAAATCCTGGGGAATAAGGATTTTCACTTCAGCAATAATACTTTTCTATCCAACCGTCTCTACACTTTGTGTACAATAAATTTTTTGTATTTTGATTGTGTGTGTATGTGATTGTGTGTGGTTCGGATGAATATGATGTTTGCTTCCTCTGATAGATAGAGTATCGCACCTCAGTTGCGCTAGTGTCTAGGCACTCTGTTTTTGCGATAATGTCTGGTTAAAAAAAACCAATGCACATGGTTTTGCTCCTCCCGCACCCACTTCGTGGTGTACATTTTTATGTATAATTTGTAACCACTTTCATAGATTTATACAATTTCTCTAAGATAGAGGTTCATTCATAAAGGAGGGAACAAGAAACGTTCAAGAGACATATTGATCTTTTTGGCGATTTCATCCTCAAAAGCACCCGTGTAATCACATTTTCATACATAATTTTTCATAGTTACAATTTTCAAAAGTTGGTATGTAAGGATTAAATTTTCTCTTTTTTACGAGTTTGACCACGGATTGATATCAATTAGAGAACCATTGAAAATCAGCAGGAAGTACTGCCAGACAGCTGTTTCATCTTAGTTTGGGTGCGTACTGCTGATGATTCCCTAACTAGGATGAAACAGCTATTCAGTACACCTTGGTAACTCTCAGTGGTTCTCCAACTGATATCAATCCGTGGTCAAACTCGTAAAAACTAGTTACAATTATTGCGTAATTCCATATAGTGATTTACAAAGGAGGTGATTGAAGGTGATATCAATTTTCAACTTGATATGAAAGTTTGAAGGTGTGAATAAAGATCACAAGGGAGGAGCTTAGAAGCAAAATGACACAGGATTGATTAGAAAGTAGCCTGAAAATATGTACAATATCTTTTTTAATGAAGACATGTGTGAAAGGAATGGTCATAGAAATGAATTAAAATGACTGTTTTATAACCGAAAATTAAAAAAAATGAAGACAGTCTAAGAAGTCGAGCAGAACTAGATCCATGGTGAATGTAGAGGTAGGACTAGGTCCTTGTAAACACAAATCTCCGTCATCTTAATTCGTGTAGCGCGGGTTGCGAAAGGCGCATCTCAAAGTGGACAAAAATTCATCGAACGTAGTGTGTTCTTGACTCATTTGTATTACAGAAGGCGCCGTGAAAAGCCGGAGCTATGTGTTCAGAAGGAACTAGTCCAACATCTGCACTTTCCATGGATCTAGTTCTGTTTGGTTGCTTAGTTGTCGTCGTGTTCATGTTTAGTTATGAAAAATATTGTTTCAATTTGTTCCTATGCCCCTGTCTCCTTTACACCTACTTTCATTGAAAGAAAGCTGTTTTACCAGGCTACTTTCTCACCCTTGTAATTCCGTTGCCACGCTTCTTTTGATATATCTGTATTCACACCTTCGAACTTTTATACAAAGTTGAAAAATTATATTGAAAATCCCCATTGAGTCATATGAAAAAGAGAAGACATTCAGCGAAGAGACTCTTTTCGGCGAATTCATTCACATAGCTGTACAATCGCATTTATATATAAATATTTGTGTGTGTGTGTGTGTGTGTACATGAGGTTTGTCAAGTTTAGATAATTGATTAGTTAATACAAGAATGATGTAGTATAGAGACAAAGTTAATCAGACAGCAACTAAAGTAAGACTGAGTTAAAAAAAACAACTAGATGACGTAATATAATTGGCTAAAATGTTACAACTTAGGTCAGGATAGCAACAGAGGTAATTACAGGTAGAGATTAAGTAGAAGTGAAATTGAGTGAATAAGTTGGATGACGTAACATGAATGACTAGAAACTGAGCGTTGTTCAGGTCAGTAACAGTGGTAGTGGGGTGTAGAGATTGAATCGGGTGGGGGTAGAGAACAAGAAAGTTGAAATTGTAAAATGTTACAATTGAGAAAGCAAAATAATACTAATGAAGAGACAGAAGAAAAGATTAGGTAGAATTTACATGTCGGCTAATAAGATAGATTACGTCCATTGCAAGTGTAGTGATTGAACGAACTTCTTCTGTATGCAGAGTTCAGGACTTAGCAAGTGGATCGCCATTGCTTCTGCAGTTTGAAGAAGTCTGATTCGTACACCTTTAGGGAGACTACTTCTTACTCTGTAGACGACTTTGAAGTTTGTTTGCGGTGTAGCTTGGTGTCCGGATTCGATCAGATGTTCTAAGATGGAACTGCGGGGGCATCGATTTTCTCCTTTATAAAACCATGCTGGTAAGTGCTCGGTGATACGTTTGGAAAGCGAGCGCTGGGTACGGCCAACATACCTGGCTCCACACGAGCAGGTGAATTGATAAATGCACATTGATGAGGCCAGCAGCGGTAGCTTATCCTTCACGTTCACATGAATCATAGGTTTTGTGGAGAAGGTTAGTCGTAGTTCAGCTGCGAAGAAAGTCTTCTTAAGTGAACGCGACAGTCGATTTTTCAGTGTTTCCGCAGATAGATCTCCATTGAATTGGAGGTTCATGTAGAGTAGTTTTTTCTTGACGCTAAGTATGGGCTGCTTTTCTGGTCTAGGATTCATAGATTTCACAATAAATCTTTCTGGATAGCAGTTCTCGACGAGGATTCTCTTGAGGTTGTCCAGTTCATCTTCTATGGTGTCCGGGGTGCAGATTCTGCGAACTCTGTAGCTGAGTGAACGGATCAGGTTTCGTTTGGTGTATAGTGGTACCCAACTGTGAAAGTTAGTAAGCTGTCCGTTCCACGTCGATTTTCTGTGGATAGATCTTCTTGACAAACCTCATGTACACACACACACACACAAATATTTATATATAAATGCGATTGTACAGCTATGTGAATGAAAAATTATAATCACCTTTAATCTTTTTCTCTCTTAATCACCATGTGCAATCAAATTGTAACTATGGAAAATTGTGTATAAAGATGTGATTGTACAGGTGCTTTTTAAGATGAAATCACCCCCCCTCCCAAAAGATCAATATGTTCTCTGAGCTTTGTGTTCCTTTCTCTTGACAAGGTAGGCAGACAAAAGTTAACCCTAAATCCCAGGGAAATTGTCGGTTGAATTAACCTAGAGCAGTGATAAAAATCGGTTAACTCGAAAAACAGATCATCGAAGAGTAATTGTGCGCTTAGATCCAACAGAAATCATTGTCCTTCTTCATTCGACAGAATCTGGAGTCAGATTTGGTTTTCAGTATGATTTTTGTTCTCTGGAGCGTCATTTCGTTCACGATATAACTGAATTTGTTCCCATTGGTGTTTTAGTCTTAAATGGTGTGAATTTCATTGTATTTGAATGTGTCTTCGACGGTTTTAAATACGCCCATAGTTCACTCACACAACTGCATTTATTGGAATAAGGTAAATACATTCTTCAACTGAAGACTCAAGTTTGTACACTGATTGGTAAAACTAATCCGTAGTGAGGAATCTGTCACATTCTTAGATTATGTGATTTGAATTCGTTTCAATTCACTACCTAGGTTTCGTCACGAACCACCGTCGGCTGGGGAGCTCTGGGCAGCTGTTTCGTCCTACTTTGGGAGTCTTCATCGGCGCGCACCGGACGCTTCCAGAGATCGGGTCACGGAAGCATTAGCGTCGAATATACAGCCACTTGGGTCGGAATCCTATGTCCCATGAATTCTCACTTTTCAACTCATGATATCGCACTACCCTTAACGATGCCTTAGATGAGCATCCATTCGCCTTGGCAAAGTAAGCATTCATGGGTTATTGAATTCTCACTCAGATGGCTGAATGGTCAACGGAATCAGTCTCGCAGGCGGTAGGTTCGGGGTTCGATTTCTGGTGGGGTAGTAGCTGCACCACCGATGAAGAGTCCTAGGATAAGACGAAACATTTGTCCTATGCTACCTGTTTTTCAATGGTCTTTCTAACTGATGTTACTTCGTGACGAAATTTAGCTGATTAAATTACACAATAGGTTCACGCTACGTATTGTCAGTGATACATGTTCAACTGACCAATCAGATTCGTTCTGAGATACAGACAGGTAGAAATCGGCCAATCATATTTGAGTAATTGTGAAGAAGCAAAATGTTTTTCTTTGAATTCCTATTGCCTTTTAATGTTTCGCAGCGCCAGCGTAATGCCCGACTTACATTAATTCATTAGTTTAGTTGCTTCGTCTGGTTAGCTCAATACTACTTAAAGTGGGGATTGGCAGACTGGATATTTGAAGACAGCATGTCCATTCCGTAGTTCTATACCATCTTGAATACTTAAACTTAGGCGGCTCAGTATTTTTTTCATGGAATCGTGGATGTCGTAACCAGGTTACTCTTGAGTGGTCTGGAAAGTTTTGGAAATGCCTCACTGATGCTCATGAGTTAAAATTTTAGATCCAAACAAATTCAGAAGAACGAGTGGGTCCTGCTGAATAAGTTTTTTGTGTTGACGGGTATTGGTAACGTTCCACCCCTTTGTTTCCCCTTCAAATGAAGTAAAGTAGTCGCACGTGTCCACATACTTCGTGATGAGCTGTCTGACAGCTGACATGTGTTTGTAGCATCCTTCTTATAACCGATACAAATATTTATCCGATAACAAGAATTGCTGCATTTCTTGTAGGTTTTGCGGACAGTTGTCTACCAAAGACATTATTTTTGGCAGTTGAGGTGTTGATCGAAACGTTTTTTGGTGTTGCAGTAGATCACGTTCACTGTATAATGATTTAACTATTTTCTTCATTCCTCTGCTTTCCCAGCGAAAAATAGGCTTCAAGTCTAAGCTACGAAGTTTCGCTAGCAGTGGTGACTTTTCTCGGGGTGGGGTCTCTAGCTTCACTCCTAAACTCTCATTTCTACTGCATTAACTACCGGCTAAGCTAAGTTTTGGGATCTCGTTGGCTGGAAATCGAACCCTGGGCCACGGGCGTGGTTGGTGAGCAGTTTGCCTTGTGAGCCAGCGACATACTTCTTAATATCTACTAAAGTTTGATAATAAGGAATGGTGGGTAATATTGAGTACTTGGGCGAAATCTTGTGAAGCTTATTATGCACAGTGTCCATCTTTTCCTGATTCTGCGCAGCATGTGGGAAGTATTCTGTGAAGGAGGTTTATCAGAATATTCCTTCCCGACTTTAGTTATATCATAGTTTCGGGAATATATGTCCCACTTTGGTAGCGTGGTGACGTGACTTATTTGCCCCAATGGTTTGATCTCCACTTGGTAGGTTCCCTAGGTATGAATCCTGTTCCCTTTTGGTCTGAGCATTTGGACACTGCCCTCCATCCTCACAGAGTATTTGTGTGGTCTGTGGCTTTTTAAGCGAGAGATCTATTATGGGCAATTGATTCCAAAGAAACAGTGTAGTAGTAAAGAGAATATGGAGACTTTATTGTAAAACTCGGTTTACTGCCCTCCGGGACGTCAACGAGATGAGCGTCATCTGAAGTGTTTTGAGACAAAGGTTACTTTTAATAGCAGCTAACCTGGGTCAAGTTCAGTTTGTGCAGTGAGAAACCGTCGTTTGGTGTATTTCTGAGTATTGCACCAAGTAGTGTAAATGTCTGAACCGTGAAACTGTCATTTAAGGGATTTATATTGTTTACTTTTCTAATTTGGTGCCTTTTATCTTTTTTCATTCCTTCTAGGGTCCTCGCATGAAGTGTCTGTGTCGAAGCAAAAACTGTCGTGGATATCTAGTCACCTAAATGTATTTATTAATGCCTTTTGGAGGATTCTTGGAAGTGAAATTACCAATCCCTTAATATTGTTCAAGAAGGCAGTTTTTTGTACTTGAAGATAAAAACTTAGGAATATTCATTTTTAAGATTATAGTTGATTTATCTTGTTTTTTTCCGCAATGTACTGTACTACTTCATGTTATTTTCTACACTGTTCTATATGTACACACATCTGTAAAGATCACAGGTTCACTGCATGGATAGGTTCTTTGCCTAATGACCCTTGTTATCTATCCTTATTTCATTAGATAATGTTTTTTATATCATAGGGTGTTTCAATGTTACAATTTTGTTCATGAATTTTTCCAATATTTTAGTGGTTTAATTTTTAGAGATTTAAAAACCCAAAATTTATGTATTTCACAGTGTCACAAATTGTCATATATTTTATTGTTGAATTCGTGTATAAAAAAGCTAAAGGTTAGAAGCGTAATCCGCTTGCTTACTTTCATCTTCTGAGTGATACCTTACAGCGAAGATAACACACTTCAAAAGCTACCTAATATATAGTACCGTATCAGCGTCCAGCTGAAACATTCATTAAATAATAGGCAGGAGTCAACTGCTGCAGATAATTCGGAAGTGTGTTCATTAGTTTCCACCACTCTATCGGAAAGCACGAAATCGCCTTAAATTTCGTTGAGAAGAGCTGTGATTGGTCGCCTGTGTTCATGGTAGAGCTTTCACAATTTCTATTGGCTAAGACAGCAACGTGTTGTGATTGGTTCACTGCGCATGTCTGTATTCACTCAGTCTTCAACTTCGTTCTAGATTCAAATTTCAGCTCTCCTGGTCTTTACTGTTACTGACAATTCAAATTAATCTTTTTCTCCAGATAAAGGCTGCATTTTATCTTAATAGGTAGTGGAAGTAAAAAGTAATTGGTCATAGGCAGTGAACTATCAGTTCTAAATAAATTTTTGCCAAGGAGCATTATCAAAGTTGGACAAGTGTTCATTTAGGGAAGCTGGTACACGTCTGGGTGCTTTTATATCCGTAGTAGTCTTTGATCACTGATTTCTAAGGAATGTGGCATCCTAAGGTGCCAAAATGCTGTTAGTTTGACGTTGATTGGTGGGCCCCGCTGGTTAGGACTCCTCACTATAGCTTTATGTAGCTTCCTGTATGCAGCCAGTTGCTAGGGGGTACCAGATTAATTATTAAGAGTTTAGTTTGCAGGGATTTGAGTGCTTACAGGTTTATACACGAGTTGACATCACTGGAAAACAAGAGAGTACTAGACAAATGTTTCGTCTTAGTTCGAGACCTTCCGGCCGTACGCATCAAATGAAGTTCGGATCCATCACAAGGCCCTAACATGTCACCATTAGGTAGGGTCTCACTGGCTGAGTGGTCGATGAGCTCATCTTGAAACCCGAAGGTGCCGAGTTCGAGCTCCTGTTAAGCAACAGTTACATGTATATGTATAGCTCAGGCACTGAATTATGATTTGTAGGCATAAAGTGCATCTGACTGGGTGGCATTAAGTAGCTGTTATTAGTTATTTTGAAAACAAGTATCTGGTACGTTATGGGCACCAATAAATGCTTCACACAAAATCTTATAAACTCTGCGAACACTAGGATGCTCCCCAAACCGAAATGGGTGAACTTCTCTGAGCTATCTTTTCAGATTGTGGAGTCCATGTAAACCATGGGTTCTGGATCAAGGTTTTCCAGCTTTTCAGTGTAGAGTCCGAAATGCCCACCAATCGAATTTTTTGTGACAGGCGTTGGTAATCGCCGCCTCACTTTGGTGCGGGCAGTCCCGTCGAGGCATTGCGTGGAACTTACTTAGCATAGTTAATGAACACACGACCATGTGCGGACATTTCAAGAGGAAAACTGAAGTCTCTACACCCTCGGTCATACCAGGGTATCTATAGGGGAGGGTCATAAGTAGGAAGGGATCTGTCTTTGTCGGCGTCTTGTGTAGTACCATGGAAATATTCTGTTCGTTCTTCAGAGAAATCTTTATCTCATACACTAGGCTATAGTGCTCAAGGTCGTTTATGCTGGTAAATAAACACTAGAGTATGATCCACTGTAGAGGTTTGTAAGTTCGCTCTTCTCCTCACTTTTGCAGAGTAAATAAACCATTGTATTTTTCTACGAATACCAATAGCAAAAGACGGGAGTAATAACCACTCACTCCAAAATCAACATGTCATTTCAAGACCACTTCCCACAGTTGATTGGGCGAATTTCATCCAATCGTAATCCGCCATGCAAAATTTGCCGTGTGAACATTTTTCACTTATTTTATAACCTTGATGTTTTCAAGAACACTGCTGAGGCTCGAAAAGCTGATTTTTCTTTGTATAAAACTCTGACATGATAAGTAACAACATATTCTAGTAGTACTGTACTAACCGAATTCTTGCCTAATATTCAGTGTATGCGATGCACCACGCTCACACTTGATACATATTATCACGCCACATTAGCAGCCAGTGATTGCATAAGTTTAATGATGATTCGTAGGGACAGTGGGATACTGATTTCCACACCGGTGTGCATATAGCTTGTGCTTGGTATTGGTTGTTGGGGGAGGGCTTGAAAACATATCTGGCCAATTCAGTGTAGCGAATGATTTGAATACAAAGAATTGCGTAAATCACAATAAGAACTACAAAAATTGCTCGTTCACCTCATGGTCAGCATCGGTACCACTCATGACATCGTGGCAGACACAGCCTCCGCGTTCTGCTGTTGGTCAACTGGGTGACCTTTGCAAATCGCTAGCTGTCTTGTTAAAAATATATGGAGTCCACTGTCATCCCATTTTCTTCCACAGCGTCCAAACACTTCTGTATCACAAGTCATTTTCTCTGAAAGCCCACCACCCCTGTCAGTCTCAAACAGCGTGAATGCGCCCCTTGTTCGAATGATTCCTCGTGCTTTGGAAAATAGAAGAAACATCAGCTGAAAGGCCCCTTTGAAAACTTCCAGCCGCTGGTACTGCCTACTCTCCAGGCTTTGTTGGACTCAAGATTTCATTGCTGAGTAATTGTTTGCACTTCCGTTATTTGGTGGAAATGTTCCTTCCACAGGCACCATTTTAATCACACTATCTCCCGAGAGTAGTCCTGTTGATTTTCGAATATTTGACTATTTGGTGCCGTTAACTACAGTTCACTGTGCAGTATATGTACTTTATCAAGGAAATCTTTGAGTTACATAGTTTCACAGCAGGACTGTTGCATCGTTCTTATATCTGTGATATAAATTGTGTTTAAAAGTACTAAAGGGACTTCGTAACACATGGGGCATTCTTTGAACCCTATCGCTACTCACTACATAGTTAGTGACTAAGGAAAGTGACCACGCAGCGACCACTGCTGTCTTATTCCTCAAAAATCTTCTGTTCTGTGTTGAGCTGTGTAGATTGACAAATATCATTTTTCATGTGTTACTGGGCTTCCTTGCTCCATTTGATCATCAGAGTGTCGTTCGGGTACACATCCATCGTCAACTGCTTAATCCCTACTCCAATCATTCCACTGGTCACTTGTTTTATGATTAATTCGATACGCTACTCAGTTACTTAAGTACTGTCTCTTTTGTCACATTAAATGGTGTTCCGAATTTTTTGACCTATGATATTCGTCTGTTCAGCGAAAAGTATGGAAGATTTCATAGTAGGTAAGGAATGTATTAGCCTGGTTCTGTTGAATCGTTTTCTACACTTGGATAGGTTGACCGCTATCACATTGTCTAACTAAGGACCACTAATCGCACCATTTTAGCAAGTGAATTCAAGTGTTCAAAGTGACCGCTCATGATCATAAAGTGCTTGGGGGTTATTCTACATAAGCTTTTGTTGTTGCTTTGTTCAGATCCCTAGAGAGAAGTAAGTGTATGAACGCTGTTTATGACTGTTTCTATCAACCTAGTCAACAATTTTTGAAAGAATGCTCCATCGATATGAATGGTAGCTTAGGGGGTACAAGTAGTTTGCCGAGTCAACTGAACCTCAGCCGTCTCACCATCAGTGAACATTTCGCTTGTCTGTGCAGACTGAAACAAATGGTGGTCAGTATAATTTTCGGCAGGCAATAGTTCAGAGGTGGCGTTCTGGTGTGACTGTGTATCTCCATTCCTATCAACGCCTAATAATGTACTTTGGCGCAGTCGTGGGAAATATATCCTCCCTCCACTAGTTAGGGTGGTGTTAAGAAAAGCCATGTCAACAGGTGAGGTTGACCAAACTAAAGAGTCAGCAAGCGGCATGACTAAAGCTTTGGTCTAACAGGATAGATGGCCACAAAGTAGCCGCGAGCGTTATTTCTAGTTGAAGCCGATCGGAAACGAGCTAGAATTAGTTCAGACGGCATAACTACGCGAATTCCAAGAGTGGCACAGATATTGCAGTCGATTTCGCCGACGGCAAACGGACACTAACATGAAACTAGACCTGGCTCTGCCTCTCAACACAGAGACGGATGCGTTTCTTCTATATATGGGCCTAAACTAGGAAAACAGCTAGCGGATAAACAACATGGGACAAAATTCAGAATGGCTTCGCAGCGCTGGAGAAAAGATTCAGACGAAACGACAACGTAGCTATTGTCCTACAGTTCCATGTGAATTTTGAGAAGAAACGCTACTAAATATATGTCTGCCTCACCGTAAGATTCTACGAGCAACTGTGGACCAACTCGATCAATCCAACAATCAAAATTAGAGTTACCTGTTTACTGTCTGTATATAGTAGCCCGACGAACTACCGACCACTTTTTTTTACGATTATTATAAACGTCTAGCACTCAGCCCACACCACTGCACTTCGAATATCCATAATATCATATCGTTCATTATTGTTTTAGCTATATATCTTTCTCTCTCTTGGTTGGGAAACATCATCCTCTATCATTCTGTGAATCCTGCCACTTACCAGTCGGATTGAAAAAAAATCTACCAGCAAATTGCCTGGCTCTGTTGACTGTCATTCAGCCAACGTTAGTCAAACAGACTAGCTGGGTTTTTTCATTTTCATCGGTAGCTACCCACATCGTAAACCACCCAAGATTACAGTAACTTGTCCAGATTCCGGGGATTTTATGCACAAAATAATTTCTAGTTGGCTGGCCACCGGCAAAACCAGTAGTGTCAACCTGTTTAAGACCAGCGCCAGGCAAGATAACTCAAAGGAGACATATTATTGCTGATAAAAGACAATAAAATAGGATGAAACTAACCGAATATTCTTGTACTTTTGATGACATCAACCGAGGATATCGATGAGCACGTTTTACTTGGCCATCTATGCACAAAGAAGAGTGCATATCAGCCTCATAACAAAACCCTGATCCAGCTCCCCAGTTTGTGGCCAGAGTACGCTAAAACCATTTTCGAAGGTTCTCGCAACGGGGAACCCGTGAGTAGGAAAGCTGTCTCAGAGTGTTCCCCTCAACCAACAGTATCACAGTAAAACATGAGTCAT